AGCTCGTTGCCAACTCCCAAAAAAACCAGACTGTTAAAAAAAAAAAAAAAAAAAACAAAAACCAAAAAGTAAATTAACTAAAAAAATCGTAATCTAATTTATTTGTTGTTGCTTGTTCACATAATGATTTGAGCTCGTTGCCAACTCCCACATAGACCAGACTGTCCATACAGTCGTGGCATAAATAATCAGTCTATGTTGATTGGCGAGGGTGCTGAATATTATGTGAAACAAACTAATGTCGTTGTGCTTAACGTATTCCAAATGATTTGTTAGCTTGTTATTTTAGTTTAACGTTGACTTTGCTGAGAGTGTATAACAGTCAACAGTTGTTATACTGATGTGATGTTAACTGTTATACCTTGGCAAAGTATATTTCATATGATTTCATAGCTTGTTTTTCATTTTAATGTTGGCTTTGCTAAGAGCGTATAACAGTTGTCAGCTGTTATACCACTGCTTTTGACTGTTATACCAGAGCAATACCTTTTTTGTTTCCGTACGCCTTTTATAAATGTTGTTCGTTTGTTGAAAATTACATAGTAAATTAATTGTATCTATTGTATTTGTTTATTCGAAATTAAATTAAATTATTAAACTTAAATGTGTAAAGATTAAATTGTTGAACCTAATTCATGTATTGGTGTCCTTACATATATGTAATTAAATTGATGTTGTAACTGTCGTTAAAACCATATTGAAATATCGATTCTTGAATATTATTATCAATTATTAACAATTACATTGCAATTATGGTTTAATCTTTTATAATATTCCTTAAGTTTTATTTTACCGCCAGCCTCGCTCAGAGTCGAGCAGAGGCGAGCTCCGCTCAGTTTTATTGCTACAGCTTAACAATCGCGCATACGTAAGCACACACAATCGAATCGAGAGCGAAAGCGAAAAAAAAATAACAATATGTGACAACAGTCCCGGCCAACATAATGGGAATACCTCAAAATATGTATAGTTCAATCGGAGCCCCAACCCGAATTTTCGTTTACTTTTTACTACTTCTTCTTCTACTTCATCTACTTTTCAATCAATTTTGGTTCGTTTTTTGGATAAGCAACTCGATAGATAAGATCTTAAAATATTTATATATATATATATATGGCTATGGCTCTATGTGTGTGGACCAAACATCCAACCAAAACTGTACAAAAGATGGCTTAAAATATGCTTTACTACATTAATACTTGCAACAGAAAGCTTCCATTTTATACTACTCCATGTACATAAAAGGGATGCTGTTATCATTTCTGCTGCTGCCTGCCCGTTGAATCTGACCAACGACGAATTCCGCGCCACTTCCCCCGCCCCCAGGCCCATCCTTGCGTTAGACCCGTATCTCTGCTGCTGAAAAAACAAAAAAAAAAACCTTTTTGCTCGAAGTAAGACTCTCCGATAGGCGATGCCCTTCCAATTACGTATACAACTGTTTTCATTTTCGGATTATGATTTCATGTGTGAAAAAAAAAAGAAAAAACTCGCTTCAATCTACTCCTAAGTAACCTGGCCAAGGGAAGCCCAAGGCTAAGGTTGTTCTTTTKTTTCCTTTACTGTTCTAATGCTTTGCTTCTTTATGTGACACACGCGCCAAACGTTTCTCAAGCGCACTTTCCATAAGTATGTTTAAAAAACAAAAACAAACAACTTTCAATATCAATTTTAATGCCAAACTCTAAAGCAAATGCTTGACATTTTTTCAAACGCCTTAAAGTATGCTTCATTCTTTGGCTTCGACTGTTCGACCCAAATGCAATACGCCAAGTGATATCCTTATAGACGAATATATTAATACACGCTTTTAAAACAAGACTAAGACAAACCAAACGTACAAAAAACAAAAACTACGCTTTGTAAATGCAAAATGAAAAAAAAAAGAAAAACTTTTGATAAAAAACGTAAAATATAAGCGAATAGCAAATAACAGCGATTTACCTAAATAAATAATAAACAAACAAAAATGCTAAACTACATCTACACACACACACCAACACACACACACACACACACACACACAAAATGGCTTGCACAGAACGCAAAGAAAAACGAAAATGAAAAGTTATTGATAAAGACGACGATAAGATTCAATCAGAGTTAGGTGTCAACAGGCATTCCACAACTCTCTACCGATCTGTGCGATTGTCGGTTGCATAACTCTGTCAGCTACTGCCCGGTATACAAATTTTGACGATTGTCAAACCCCATTCGCCCGGCCAGCCAATGCAATGGCCGTGCGCACTGTTTAGCACACATGCGCGTACGACTGCTGCCTTGGCCCCAAACACCTGGCCGTACCCTCCAATTTATAGTGTGTAGCATAACTGGTTGGATAACGTGACCCGTTTATGATTTAGCTCCGCCTTATATGTTATGCGTCCCATTGGCAACCATGTTGAAAATCCACCCAACTCGAACTCAAGCAAATACCGTGGCACTAGCCTGAATCTTCTTAATGGTTTTGGTCCAATCTGCAATGGAGATTATGTACTTTACTATGAACGTAGTAAAACGCATACTATATATTTAGATAGATCTACCTATACCTGGTAAATAGCCCGACGCAACCTCAGCAACTCCCGCATCGAACCAAAGTGGGCAAAGAGAAAACAAAAAACCAAATATTTATGAAAAATCTCATTAGTGTTAACTAGTTTTACTGCTTATAATTTGACTTAATATGTGTAAAAAAAAAAAAAAAAAAAAAA